GTGGCTCTCCTATTTTACCTTCCCACGAGCAGGATATGAGCAGTGTATTTCTCTCCATCCTCACTGACCTACAGTTGCTATGATCCATTTTTGATTATAGCTGTCCTACTGGATGTGAAGTGGTACCTTATTGTGACTTTGATTCCATTGCCCTGATGGATAATGGTGTTGAGCATCTTTTCATGTGCTTTTGCTCATTTATATATCTTCCTTGGAGAAATATCTAGTCAGATATTTGCCTGTTTTAAGATTTGGTTATTTGTCTTTTAAGAGTCCCTTAGCTAATATATAATTCACAGAAAATGTTCTCCCATTCTTTGTGTCTTTTCACTGTCTTGGTGTAGTGTCCTTTGAAGCCAAAAATTTAATTTTAATGATATCCAGTTTGTTTTTTGTTGTTCCTTGTGCTTTTGGTTTCATATGTAAGAAACAAGTGCTTACTCCAAGATCACAAAGATTATGCCTATGTTTTCTTCTAAGAGTTTTATGCTTTTACCTTCCACAATTCATTTTTTGACCCATTTTGAGTTAATTTTTATATATGGTGAGAGGTAGGGGTTCAAATTCATTCTTTTGCTTGTGGATATCCAGTTCTCCCAATTAAAAAGATTATTCTTTCCCCCATGGAATTGTTTTGGCACCCTTGTCAAAGATCTGTTGTCTATAGACATAGGACTTTATTTCTGGACTCCTAATTCTATTCCATTGGTCTAAATATCTGTCCTTATGCCACTACCACACTTTTTTTGTATGTGTGACAGAGTCTCCCTATATTGCCCAGGCTATTCTCAAACTCCTGGCCTCAAGTGATCCTCCCACCTCAGCCTTCCAAAGTGCTAGGATTACAGGTGTGAGTTTTTGCACCCAGCCTCACACTATCTTGATTACATAGTTTTGTAGTACATTTAGAAGTCAGGGGCCAGGCATGGTGGCTTACACCTGTAATCTCAGCACTTTGGGAGGCTGAGGTGGGCAGATCACCGGGTCAGGAGATCAAAACCATTATAGCCATCATCGTGAAACCCTGTCTCTACTTTAAAATACAAAAATTAGCTGGATGTGGGAGCACGCATCTGTAATGCTAGCTGCTTGGGAGGCTGAGGTAGGAGAATCACTTGAGCTTGGGAGGTGGAGATTGCAGTGAGCTGAGATTGTGCCACTGCACTCCAGCCTGGCAACAGAGCAAGACTCTGTCTCCAAAAAAAAAAGAAAAAGAAAGTTTGCATCTTCCAGCTTTATTCTTTTTCAGGATTACTTACTATTCTGGGTTCTTCAGATTTCCATATGAATTTTAGGATCAGTTTCTCAATTTTTGCAAAGAAGTTAGCTAGGCTTTTGATTGGGTTTACTTTGATCAGTAGATCAGCTGGGGAGCATTGTTATCGTAACAGTATTAAGTCTTTATATCCCTGAATATGGGATGTCATTGTATTTATTTAGGTTTAATTTCAATAATGTTTTGAAGTTTTCAGAGTATAATGTAAATTTTATGCTTATTTAATTAAATTTATTCCTAAATATTTCATTCCTGTTGATGGTATTATAAATGGAATTATTTTGACTTCATTTTTAGTTTCTTTATTGCTACTATGCAGAAATAAAATTGATTTTTATATATTGTTCTTGTCTCCTATACCCTTGTTAAATTCATTTATTAGTTCCGTTGTTTTTTTTTTTTTAATGGATTCCTTAAGATATTCTATATGCAAGATCATGTCATCTGCCTTTTTTGTTATCTTGCTGGTTGTGCTGAGTAGAATCTCCAGTACAAAGTTTATTAGAAGCAGTGAGAGCAGATGTCCTTGTCTTAATCCTGACTTGAGGAGGAAAGTACCCATCTTTCACCATTAAGCATGATGTTAGCTGTGGGCGTTTTATAGCTGACCTTTATCAGATTGAGGAAATACCCTTATATTTCTATTTTTTAAAAAATATTTTTATCTTGAAAAGGTACTGGATTTAGTCAGATCCCTTTTCTGATATCTGCTGAGATAATATTACAGAGTTTTTTCTTTTATTAATGTAGTGCATTGCATTGATTTGTGTATGTTGAGCCAGCTCTTTGTTTCTGTGATAAATCCTATTTTCTCATAGTATGTAGTCTTTTTTATGTGTTGCTAGATTTCAGTTTACTAGCATTTTTTTTGTTTGTTTCTGAGGGGGTGTGTGTGTGTGTGTGTGTATTCATAAGGGATATTGGCCTATAGTTTACTTGTGATGTCTTTGCCCAGTTTTTGTTTCAGTATAATTCTGGCCCTGTAGAAGGAGTTGGCAAGTGCTCCCTCCTGGTTTTTGGAAAAATCTAGGAAGGATTGGTATTAATTCCTTAAACATTTGGTAGATTTTACTAATGAAGCTATCTTGAAATTTTCTTTGATCACTAATTTAATATCTTAAATATGTACTAAGGTGTTTCATTTCTCCTTGAGTTAAACTTTTGAGTCAGTTATATACATTATTGAATTTGTTGGTATATAGTTGTTCATAGTATTCATTTATTTTTATTTCTTTTCACGGATTTTATTTATTTATTTATTTATTTATTTATTTATTTATTGAGATGGAGTTTTGCTCTTGTTACCCAGGCTGGAGTGCAATGGCGTGATCTTGGCTCACCACAACCGCCGCCTCCTGGGTTCAGGCAATTCTCCTGCCTCAACCTCCTGAGTAGCTGGGATTACAGGCATGCACCACCATGCCCAGCTAATTTTTTTGTATTTTTAGTAGAGTTGGGATTTCACCATGTTGACCAGGATGGTCTTGATCTCTTGACCTGGTGATCCACCCGCCTCGGCCTCCCAAAGTGCTGGGATTACAGGGATCAAGAATGTTTTTAAAGCTAAACATTTCCCTCTGAGCATTTGCTTCAGCCATTTCCCATAGCTTGTGATATGTATTTTTATTTTTAATATAAGTTTGCGATTTCTGTATTTCTTCCTTGATTCAATTGTTGTTAAGAATTTCTTAAAATGTTTTTGAGGCCAGGTGCAAGTGGCTCATGCTTCAAACTCCTGGGCTCAAGGGGATTCTCCCCTCCAGGCAACTGTACCACAGGCACAGTTATCTTTTAAATTATATTTTCTTGTAATACTGTTATACCCCTCCATCTCCCAGTATATCTTTTATCTACAAAATATAAAAGATCCCTTTTGGTATGTCTGTGAAATGGGTCTCTGATACAATCTTGTTTTCAAATGGCTGCCCATTTGTCTCAGCAATATTTATTGATAATCAGTATCCATAAATTATATGGATATTCATTTTTGGAAGTCAGTATAGCACTGGGAACAGCCTAGGTCACCTAGGAATATATTATGGAGTAAGAAAATAGGGCCTAGGCCTGAATTTTGGAAGGATCCCAAAATGGCAGCAGTTGAAGAGGATAAATCAACAAAAGAAAACCAGTCAGAGCGAGGAGAAGCCAGGGCCCTCGGGAAGTGATTCTTTCAGTAAAAGGGAGAGACTTGCCAAGTCGAAGCTTGCTGAGAGATTGAGGAAGTGGAAGGAAAGAAGTTGTTCACAAGATCCAGCCACATGGACACCATGGACCTTGGTGACTGCTGTTTGGAGTGGCAAGGGCAAATGTTATATTAGGGTGGGTTCAGCAGTCAGTGAGAAGTGGGAGATGGGAAACAGCGACACTAGTTGCAAGAAGCTTATCTGTGAAGGGCAGCAGAGTGAAGAGGAAGGTTTTGTTTAGTTTTTTGTTTTTAAATTTATTTATTTATTTTTGAGATGAAGTCTTACTCTGTCTCCCAGACCGGAGTGCAGTGGTGTCATCTTAGCTCACTGCAACCTCTGCCTGCCGTTTTCAAGTGATTATCCTGCCTCAGCTTCATAAACAGTTGGGATTACAGGCACCTGCCACCATGCCCGGCTAATTTTTGGGGTTTTTTTTTAGTAGAGATGGGGTTTCACCATCTTGGCCAGGCTGGTTTTGAACCCACATTGGCCTCCCAAAGTGCTGGGATTACAGGCATGAGCCGCACAACCGGCCTATAGGGAGGTTTTAAAGATGAGAGAAGCTGGCCACAGGGGCTCAAGCCTCTAATTCCAACACTTTGGGAGGCTGCAGAGGAAGGACCACTTGAGCCCAAGAGTTTGAGACCAACATGGGCAACAGAGTAAGACCCTGTCTCTAAAAAATTTTTTTTAAAAATTAGTCAAGTGGTGTGGCTAATAGGAAGGATCCAGTGAAGAGGAAGAGGTGGAAGCAACAAGTGAAGGGATTGGTCATCAGTAATGAAAGGCTTCTGACAGGGCAGTGAGAGAGCTAAGCCTGAGGCAGAAGGGCCTGGTGTCTGTTGCAGCAGGGAGAAGGAGATGAGGATAGAGACAGAACTGTCTTTGTTTCCTCCTTTATTGTCATCAGAGTAGCAATAGGTTACAGGTGATGATGAAGGTAGTCTAGTGGGTACTTGTGAGTTCCAGCAGAGGCCAAGGGTCATGTTGTTGAGGAGCTTGCTGAGGTAGAGGTTTGGTAACCACGTTGCAGATCCACAGGGTCACCCCATCAAGTCTAACTTGGCTGCTGCACCTGGGGTGGGGGGCCAAGGGTTCAGCTTTTCATAGCCCATTTCTTTCCTCCCATCCAATCTTCCACATTTATTACCGCCACTAAACGCCCCCAGCCATGGTCTCATTCCTGTTGCCCAAGTGGTGCAGAAGGCCTCCCATGCACTGACCCCCGGTACCCCTCAGATTGTAAGGCTGGCAGAGCACCCCATACTCTGAGGCCTGAGTTGTTCCAATCCCTGTTGGAACTCTCCTGTAAGCAGCCTCTGCCTGTGGCTTAGATAGATGGGGAGCAGAGATCATCTCAATACTCATTTCTGTTGCTGTGGTCTTCTTTAGGGGACATCCAGCCTTTTGTATTCCCATAAGGGAAGACCTTTGCAGTTGAGTCATCCCATTGGAAGCTGTTAGATGCAGTTCAGAGGCAGAGAAGATAATTCCATGCTTGCCTTCTGGCTCTCTCCTGAGTATCCTGTCTTCTGCAGGGTTGTACAAACTTGACTGATTCCAGGGATTCTTGGATAGGGGAGGAGCGAGGCCATTCTGCAGTGAGGAACAATCACCTATATTTGGCCAGGTCTGCCTGGAAGAACTCTGCCTACAGTGAGTTGCGGGCAATGTTGGGGATAGCCACCTGCCTGGTTTGGGGACTTGGGGGCTGATGGCTGCTAGATCTTAGTGAGTCACTGGTCCGAAGGAGAGCTGTTGCTGTCCTGAGGCACTGATGTTCAGTGCCATCACAGGGCCTTCACCTATTTATTGTAGGCCACAGAGCCTCCCTGGGCAGTTGCTGCTGCTCACCATGCAGTCCGTCCAGCTTGGGGACCTGCTTTTCCTCCTCTTATCAGGATTTGGCCAAGCATGTTGTGGACACTTCTATGGCTGATGTGAGTATCTGCTCCCACCCGTCCCCACCATACCTTTACCCAGACCTCTGCTGGATATGCAAGAAGAGAAAGTAGGAAAAAAGCTGGGCAGATTAGGGAGGCCAAGACTTTTGGGCATCTCCAGCGGTTCTTCATCTTGAGAAAAGGGGAATTTGGGCCAGGCACAGTAGCTCATGCTTATAATCCCAACATTTTGGGAGGCTGAAGTGGGAGGATCGTTTGAGGTCAGGAGTTCAAAACCAGCCTGGGAAGCACAGCAAGATCCTGTCCCTATAAAAAAAATAAAAATATTAAACCATGCGTGGTAGCTCACATCTGTAATCCCAGCACTTTGGGAGGCAGAGGTGGGCAGATGCTTGAGTCCAGGAGTTCAAGACTAGCCTGGGCAACATGGCAAAACCTTGCCTCTACAAAAAATACAAAAAGTTAGCCAGATCTGGTAGTGGGTACCTGTAGTCCTAGCAACTGGGAGGCTGAGGTGGAAGGATTGCTTAAGCCTAGGATGTTAAGGCTGCAGTGAGCCATGATCACACTACTGAACTCCAGCCTGGGTGACAGAGCTAGACCTTGTCTCGGAAAAAAAAAGAAAAGGGGAATTTATCAGATGCAGGTCAGAATGACTAACCCAGGGGCTTAGTTTTTACTGTGCCTCCTAATTTGGATGTGGCCATTGTGTCCCCAGGTAATGGCTGCTTGTTCGGATAATCTGCACAACCTCTTCAGCTGCCAGGCAACAGCTGGCTGGAAGTAAGTTTGTCAGGGTCCTTGGTATACTGTCTGTCTTGTTCCTAAGCTTGTCACCCTGCTTGGCTTGTCTCCTCCTTCCCCTTACCTAGATTCCTCAAGTCTTCACTCTGAGCCCCTCCTTTGTGATCCTTGGAACTCATTTTTGATCCCCTCCTCTTCTCTGTGCTTGGTGTTTCCCCTCAGCTATCAGGGTGAGGAGCAGGCGGTGCAGCTTTACTACAAGGTGTTTTCTTCCACTCGGCATGGCTTCCTGGGGGCAGGTGTGGTGTCCCAGCCACTGTCTCACGTGTGGGCGGCTGTCAGTGACCCCACTCTGTGGCCCCTGTTTTACAAGCCTATTCAGACAGCAAGGCTGCATCAGCGAGTGACCAACAGCATCAACCTGGGTGAGCCCAGGGAAGGAAGGCTTCCATGGGGCCTTGTTTCTGGTGTGCCCAGTGGGGTCTTGCTGGGGGACAGAGGTGGAGGGTTGGAGGCAGCCTTCTTGGGAGGCCAGGTACTTAGGTTACCTTGATTGCTCATCCTGGGTTGAGCTATGTCTCAGGTTATAGGTTGATGGCAGGAGGGCTGCTCGCTTATCAGGAAGGCTTTAAGACTAGGTTTGTCCATGGGCCCCCTGACCTTCCTTATCCCTGTCCCTCCAGTGTATTTGGTGTGTGACACCACCCTGTGTGCACTGAAGCAGCCACGGGATTTCTGTTGTGTCTGCGTGGAAGCCAAAGAGGTGCCTGCCTTGGTGGTAAAGACATTGTGGGAAGAACTTGGGCTGAAGTGTTGTGAGAAACAATCTATGTGGGCATCAGGTCCTCTGGGGGAAGGAGCGCAAATTGAGGCTGGAGCTAGGGTAGGGGTGGCTTGAAGGCTGGCCAGTGTTGCCTTTCACCATACTGTCTACTCGGGAGCCTGTTCCTGTTTTGGCCATACTACATAGGCAGGACTCCCATTTCCCTCTGTCCCCAGGGTCACCTGTCAGTCATGGCAGCCCAGTCTGTGTATGATATATCCATGCCAAGACCCAGCAGAAAAATGGTTCGCGGGGAGATCCTGCCCAGTGCCTGGATCTTGCAGCCTGTCACCGTGGAAGGGAGGGAAGTCACCAGAGTCATCTACTTAGCCCAGGTGATAAACCCCTTGTAGCCAGCCTCACAGCACAGCCTGACCTGGTCCCACAGCCCCCTAGGATTTTTGTGTCTCACTGTTGAACATCCTCCAGTGCCCACGCCCTCTGGCCTGAGACCAGGAGACTCTGGGGCTCCCTGGGCTTGCAGTAAGGGGAGTCAGGGGATAATTGGAGAGGAGGGAATGAGACAGGAGTTTATCAACCTTTTCTGAAGCTCCGGTCACCGAAGACCCAGTGACCCGCATCCTGTGGCTGATCCCAGGATCCTTAGGAGATAGATGAGTCATTGTGAAACCTCAGTAGAGTGATGACCTGTTTCGTTCACCTCTCCCCTCCCAGTCCGTTGACTTGGACTTTGTCACTAGGAGGTGAACGCCAACACTTAGATCTGAATAGCAGAGGCCAGGGGCCTGTAAACACCAAGCCAAATCTGAGGTACTTCTCCCATCATCACAGGCTGGGGGGACTCCTTGGGGCTAGAGTGTAGCTGGCACTCTCTCTCAAGTCTATTTGCACCTTAAATTCTTCTCTCTCTGCTTTCAGGTGGAACTTGGGGCTCCAGGCTTCCCACCTCAGCTCCTGAGCTCTTTCATCAAACAGCAGCCACTAGTTATAGCCAGACTGGCTTCTTTCCTTGGTAGCTAGCATCTCACTGTCAAGATGGTGCTGCTGGGATGCAGGCCCAGGCTGCTTAAAAGACACTGTGGCAGCTCCTTGTTACTTTCCGTACCCTGGTGCAGGAAGAGCTGATGCTACCTGCTGTGGCTGACTGGGGCAGACAGCACTGGCCCAGGGTTGCCAGCAAAGCTCAGTTAGTACTTGATCACAGTTGGCACCAGTGCAGAGCAAATGGCCTGAGCTCCTGGCCCTGACTGTCCAGAGTGAATGCAGCTCAGCTCACCTTTTGGATTTCTCATCTTTCTTTACTGTTGCTGGGACTGCAGCAGACAGGCTACTTAAGGACCAGAATTGGGCACAGCCAGCAGAGCCGGGGGACTACAGTGCTTTGGCAAGATGCTTCCACAAGCTAGGAGGAAAGCAGGCAGCCAGTGGCCAAGACTCTGCTCTGAATCTACCTCCAGCATTCGGCTCCACTGTGTGGTAGGACATTAAAAATACCAAAACAAAGAGGATTCAAAAAAAGCTGCACAAACCAGAACACTGATTCAGAATATTTTCTCCCTCTTGAATTTTTTGCAAAATACTTTATTATTGATTTTGTTTTTTCTCCCTTTTCCTCCCAGGAGAAGACATTTGGGTCTTGGCATGAGTCAGGGGTGTTGAGTGATGCTCTGATATGAAGCTGTCACTCTAGAGCTGTCAGATGGAAGACACCGTAGAACCAGGTTGGACAGATACGGGGTCAGGGTGAGAGGCCGAGGTCTTTGAGGACTGGTTGGAGTGGCAGCCAAATGCTGGTTTCTGACAAGGCAAGATGAATTTCAGAGCTTAAACATTGTCCTTTGAGGAGGGGAGAGGAGATGAATGAACTCCCAGGGGAGGCGAATGGCTTGTTGAGAGGACGCTCAGTTCCAGAACTTACCTCAGTCAGTTGGGAGATGTGGAGTCTTTAGCATTCCATGATTTCTCTCTGGCCTCACCTATCCTAGGATGGGATGGGATGAGATGGAGAGTGGGTTCAGTTTTCTTGTACTTTAGCCTGGCTGGATGTGAACCGTGAATATTCTGTGTGTTTACTTGGAAGTGGTAGGGTTGGGGAAGATTCCCATCTTTAGTTCTGGTGCCCAAAATCTTTTGAGGATTCAAAAGATGTGGTAAAAGATGTATTTCTGTATAGCATGGCAGAGATTTATTTTTCTGAAGTGTTTGCAGGACATTTTTCCCCCTTACCTCAGATTATTTATATATTGTTGATTGAAGGTTTTTTAAAATTGCTTTTAAACTTCTGTTTCTCTGGTAAATTTTTTTGGTGACATATTTAACACCCTATTTATGTATTCCTACCTCTTGTCATATAAATCTCTAAGACTACTGACCAAAAGAGTCAGATCATTTTAAAATTAAAAATCCTCTGCATACTTTATCTAGTGAAGAGTAGATGAAATACTGCACTGCGATAGTCTAAGTGTGTCATTCAAGCTTGGCAGTTAGCTGGAGATCACACTGGCAATACCACTTTATGGCCAATTCAAAGATTCAGTTTACATGGATGTACAGTTTCCCATGAACTTGGCATTTCTTTGCAGGGTAAGCAGCAACCAGGTAAGTTGCTCAACTATAGCCCAAGTAAGAACTGAAGTGGAGGATCCAGAACAGTCACTGCAACATCTAACAGTGACCACAGTGCCCTGGGGCTTCTGAGGCAGAGCCACCTATGGGAATCTGAGTAGGGAGATCACCAGGAGGTAACCCTGTCTACCTTAATAGAGAAGTCACCCTGGCATGGTGGGTCAAGCCTGTAATCACAGCATTTTGGGAGTCTGAGGCAGGTGGATCACCTGAGGTCAGGAGTTTGAGACCAGCCTGGCCAACATGGTAAAACCTTATCTCTACTAAAAATACAAAAAATGAGTCGGGCATGGTGGCACACTCCTGTAGTTCCAGCTACTCGGGAGGCTGAGGCACAAGAACTGCTTGGACCTGGGAGGCGGAGGTTGCAGTGAACAAGATCTTGCCACTGCACTCTAGCCTGGGTCACAGAGTAAGACTCCGTCTCAAAAAAAAAAAAACAAACAAACAAACCCACACACCAGAGCTGACTTAATCAGCAACTGAAAGATTAAGAGGGATCTTATAGCAAAAAGCAAAAGTGGAGTAAGATTTTGGTTTCACTAGGTGGTTCTCATACTTTTGCCTACATCAGAATCATCTGAAAGCTTTCTTATGTTCCAGGCTGGGCCCTACCCCAAGTTACTGGTTTGGTAGCCTCGGGGAGGGACCAGAGTATTTGTATTAACAAGAAGTCTTGCTGGGTGTGGTGGCTCACACTGGTAATCTCAGCATTTTGGGAGGCCAACGTGCGCATTATCACTGGTTCAGGAGATTGAGACCATCCTGGCCAACATGGTAACACCCCATCTCTACTAAAAATCCAAAAAATTAGCCGCGTGTGGTGGCATGCACCTGTAGTCCCAGCTCCTCGGGAGGCTGAAGCAGGAGAATCACTTGAACCTGGGGGCTAGAGGTTGCAGTGAGCCAAGATTGTGCCACTGCACTCCAGCCTGGGCAACAGAGTGACTCCGTCTCAAAAAAATAAAAAGTCCCAGGGGGCCCTTAAGTTTGCTGGTTTGGGGACCACACTATCAACAGCTGGCTTTGACAATTAAAAAGAATCTTATTACTTCGCTGGACCCTAGCTGCCTGTGTCCACAATCCTTAGAGTAGCCTTTAAGGCTCACACAGGTCAGCAGGAAGTTTCCTTCATCAGGAACATGGTAAATTTCTATTCAGATTGCCAAGAACTTGGTTTTAACTTAGTGGGTCTTAAGCCAGGCCTGGGTTATGGCCCAGCCCTTCAATCTCAGCATCCTTAGGTGTTTCAGGTTTTCCTCTCCTGCCCATCCCAAGTCACACACCTCAGCTGGGTCATCTGGAAAAAGTCAAGAAGTAGCCATGAGCCAGACACTTACCCGAAGCTTCCTGGGGCAGTGCTGTGATTCATCCACACCTAGTGCTAGTCCCGGGCATAGAAAAAAAAAATTTTTTTTTTTTTTGAGACGGAGTTTCGCTCTTGTTACCCAGGCTGGAGTGCAATGGCACGATCTCGGCTCACTGCAACCTCCGCCTCCTGGGTTCAGGCAATTCTCCTGCCTCAGCCTCCTGAGTAGCTGGGATTACAGGCACGCACCACCATGCCCAGCTAATTTTTTGTATTTTTTTTAGTAGAGACGGGGTTTCACCATGTTGACCAGGATGGTCTCGATCTCTCGACCTCGTGATCCACCCGCCTCGGCCTCCCAAAGTGCTGGGATTACAAGCTTGAGCCACCGCGCCCGGCCGAAAAAAAAAATTTTTTTAAAGACAGGTGTCACTCTGCAGCCAAGGCTGGAGTGCAGTGGCTTGATCATGGCTGACTGTTGCCTTGACCTCCTGGGCTCATGATCCTCTGACCTCAGCCTCCCAAGTAGCTGGGACCACAGGCATGGACCACACTCCTGACCAATTTTCTTTTGTATTTTTATAAAGATGGGGTTTCCCCATGTTGCCCAGGCTGCTTTCAAACTCCTAAGCACAAGTGATCCTCCCACCTTGACCTCCCAAAGTGCAGGGATTAAAGGTGTGAGCAACCACATCTAGCTGAGAAAGCATTCCTTAAAACTTTTTTGGTTCCCAGGCAGTCAGAACAAACTGGATTTAAAGGATAAAGATAAAGGCCTTTGAAAATGAAGAGATCAGGGAAAAAGGTTAAGATGAAAAACTTATTAAAGGAGTAGCTGAGGAGAGGGGAAAAGTATGATCACAAGGTGGTGACTGAGAAAACCTCCTGTTTTTCACTTCTAGGTTGATGGGATTTCCAGGTTTTACCATAGTCTGTTAAGTGGATCCATTTAGGTCCTCCTGAGGATATTACCCGTCCAACTCCTTGTGGTAATGCACATGATCATAGTAGTGCTTTTTGTTTCTCAAAGAGGTGGGGGTCTCACTCTTGCTCAGGCTGGCGTGCAGGGGTGCAATCATAGTTGACTGTAACCTTGAACTCCTGAACTCAAGCAGTCCTCCCTGTTGGTCTCCCAAAGCGCTGGGATTACAGGTGTGAACCTGTCAAAATCAATAGCTCATTTATAGAGCTCGATATAGCTCTAATCGAGAAGCAATCCTTTTTTACTCTGAGATACTCCAAGTTAAATCACACACCCCAGGCTTAACAGGACAGCATAACAAGAACTGCCCCAGCGTGTGGTTCAGTAGGGAACATCTTGTGTGTGGAAAACTACATTATCCTAACCCTTGCTCTCACAAATAGTTACACAGAAGAAGTCAGTACCACTGACAATAAATTTATAGGTAACTGCCACCAGAGATTAGCTCTCTAGAGTGGACTATATAGGCATTTCTAAGAGGCAAGGCAGCTCACTTTGCAATGCACACAGTAAAGCCACAATTATAGCTCAACCTAAAACCCACCTGAGACTCTGCAGCCTTCTAAAGGAAAAAGACAGGTAAAAATGACTAGACATCAAGCCCTTGTTAAAGAAAACCAGTTTATTTAAAAAAGCTCTAAATTCCCTGTGCTTGGTCCCTGGTCAGAGAGAGAGAGGTCTAAAGAGTTACCACCCACATGGGCTGAAGGTACAGGGGGAAAGCCAGGTTTCAGTGGGTTGAGGAGTCATACCTTATCTGTTAGGCTTTTTTGGATAGTCTTGCTGTCACCCAGGCTGGAGTCGCACCACTGCAACCACCTCCTCCCGGGGTCAAGCAAGTCTCTTGCTTCAGCCTCCTGAGAAGCTGGGACTACAGGCACACTCCACCATGCCCAGTTAATTTTTTTATTTTTAGTAGATACGGTTTCGCCACGTTGGCCAGGCTGGTCTCAAACTCCTGACCTCAAACGATCCGCCTACCTAGGCCTCTCAAAGTGCTGGGATTACAGGCTGGTCTCGAGTTCCTGACCTCAAACGATCACCTACCTTAGGTCTTTAAAAGTGCTGGGATTATAGACATGAGCCACCACACCCAACCCATGTTAGGCATTTTTAAGGAGAATGGTAGTCTACCTCCTGATGCTAAGAAAATGTAGACTCCCAAGATTCATGTTTTAACTTTTTAAGTTAAGTGGAAGTCACTTGCCTCTGTCAGGCATTCCAAGACCACAAAGTTTTAAGAGATACTGGGATATCAAATGAGGCTTGAATTCTGTGTTGACAAGCCCACACACCTCATTTCATTTAGTATCCAAGAGAAAAACACCACCTCTTCCACTCCAGACTGGCATCTCTGGGCTTCTCTGCCGTAAGCTGAATCAGGCCAGCTCTCCTTCCTCTAGGATTTGCGTGGTTGTCCTGTAGTTGCTGGGATGTAAGGCAGCCACACCCTTCTTTCACAGAGCAGGAAGTCTGATTATAGACCAGTTACTCCCACACCAGTGAGAGTCCATGGTGGGCACTTGGACCGCCTCCTGAGGAACAGTGAGGCGGGGGTCCACGGTTCTGGTGAGATGCCCAAGGCAGGGCCACTTCTCAGCCCTAGCTCTGGGCCAACACAGTGCCCCGGTTTGGCTGCACCAGTTCACAAGCTCTTAGCTGGGGTTCTGGCAGGTGGGGCTCGGCTAGAAACAGGTTAGACAGTGTTGCTAATTCTTCAGCAAAGCCCTGCAGTAAGTAGAAAGATGAGGGAAAAGGCAGCATGTAATTCCCAACAGCTTATCTTTTTTTGGATAGTCTCTTTTTTCACTGAAGACCATCCCAAACGCCAAACCTTAGCTAAGCACTCAGTAGACAACAAGCTGGCTACATTATTTTTTCTCACCTGCCTTCCACACTGAAGTGGACATGAAACCTAGTCTGTTAGTACTTTGGGAGGCTAAAGTTATGGCAGGGAGTGAACTCTAATGGGGGAGGCACAGGCTTTACCACTTTTTGAGTATTATTGAGTGCATCTATTTCATCTTGAAATTATTAGTACTATTAAAAGATGAATTACTTTGCCCCAAATCAAAAAAAAAATTACCAAGATTAAAATCCAGGTTATTCAGATTTTAAAAACCCACACACTGTGCTGCTTTCCAACTAATTGCCTTCCTTTCATCTTCCCGCTAACACATTCCCTCATATAACTACTCGAATTGGGATGATTTCAGGGTGGCCCTGAAGACTCTTAACAAAAATCCACTTAGTCTTGTGTCATCACTTGCTTCCTTTCAAGACAAATGGGAGATGGAGACTCCTTACCCTTGGCCACTGGGCCTGGTGGAGGCTGCCCAGGCAAGCCTCTATCTCCATCCGTCCCAT